TTAAGGTCGTTATGAAGGAGGCCCCTGTCGTGCATGTATCGTAGACCGTCCAGTACATCCAGCGCGATGCGGCGCCAGGAAGACGGGGCAAGATGTATACGGTTGGGCCCTTACAGGGCATCCGCCTAGGTGTCTAATGTGAAGGTGAAGGAGTTGGATGACTTGGTCGGGACGAGTGCAGTTGCACCCTAAGAGAGCAAACAAGAACGTCAAATTCCCTTAGTCATCGGCCAAGATCATCAAATTTTTGTTCAGGTCCACCATCCCTATGTCAACAGGCGTAGACATCACTGCCTCCTTCAGAGATTATTTCGAAGTAATGTGTACCGACAGATTGATTTTTTAGAGAAATGCGAATCTTTTTTTAAGTTATTAATTTCATTTTTAATATATTGACAGACTAGGGCAAAAATTTTGAACTTACCCATTTATTTACGAAGAAGGCACATTCAGCTGGGATGTCCTCACCGCTAATTGTTGACCTGTTGCATTGTAAGGAGGCGGTGGCAAGGGACTTTGCTGGCCAGGTGAGACCGGTGCAATCGATGAGACCAACCCAGCCGGTAAGGCAGCAGAGGCGTTGGGAGAGTTGGTCAGCAGTGCACTGTTACAGGGATCACTGGGATCAAACAAACAATGAAGTATATCTGTGGTTGTCTACGTGTGAATTACCAAATAACCATTACTGAAATTGATAATTGGCAGGACGTCCAATTCCTTAATCATCATCCAGAATCACCTTCGATTTGTCAGGCCAACATTGTGCATATGCTGCATAAGCTTGTCAAAAGGCCATGACATCAGTGGCTTCTTTGCAAGTTACCATTACGGAGCACTGTGTACCGAGAGATTGTTCTTCATAAACATTTTACTTTTTTGCGAGATAGAAGGAAAAGATTTTAAACGTACCAATTTTGTTGCAAAGATGGCGCGTTCGAGTGGGATGTCCTCACCGCTGATTGCCAGCCTGTAGCACTGTAAAGAGACAATAGTTGGGGAGTACGATGGCCAGTTGAGACTGGTGCAATCGCTGAGATCGATCCAGCCGATAAGCCAGTAGAGGCGTTTGGAGAGTCGGCTAGCAATGCGCTGTAGGGATCCGACATAAACTGATATTATATATCTATGGAAGTCTTTGTACGAATCACTGAATTACATCGCCAGAAACACTTTTGATACGTACCCATTTCCCGTGGAAGAGTGCCCATGGGTCAATGGTGACGTGGGAGGTGACTGTTGGCTAATGGAACCGTGGGGCATCGGTAGGTGAGCTTGGTAGCCCGGTAATGGTACCGATGAGGTAGAGCGAGTTTATATGGGGGGAGTTGAAGATCTTATTAACAAACCCCTGAAAGAACAAAAACACATGTTTTTCTGTCGTCTTTGTTTAGATTCCTGAATCATAATTACTGAATATTGACGATTGGAAGTTGATTGCTAGAAACAGTTTTTTTAACATACCCACTTCCAGAGGGAGAGTGCCCATGAGGCAGCGATGTAGTGGGAGGTGACTGCTCGCCAGTGTGAGAGTGGAGAATCGATGAGTTCGGTACTGGTGCCGACGAAGCGGAGTGATTTGGTAAGGGGGCAAGTAATGAGGTTGGCAACAACCCCCTGCAGGAACAAACCAAAAAGTACGTTTATCTGTCGTATTCTCTGCTTTATTTACCGAACTACAATCACTGAGTGATAACGCAGGACATTTGCTAGAAGTTATCTTCGACATACCCATTTGCTTGGGAACCATATCCTTTGGGCAGTAATGCTGTAGGCAGTCGTGGGCCCGCAGCTTGGCAGGACGGAGGGAGAGACTTGGGTGGCGCTGGAAGCGGTGCATTTGTCTCAGGCTGTCCAAGAACTCTAATAAAAGTTACAAAGAAGTTATCAAAGACTGTATGTAGCCTACATAGTGTGCGTTGACTGCATATTGGAACCGGGAAGTCGGCAGACGTCAATTGTAAATAACATATCCTGAACTCTCTCTAAAAAGTAGAAAAATCATCATGTGCTGACGTTTGTTTCCTTTCAGTTCAATTTTAATGGTGATATATCTGATAAATGTTTCGATGCTCTCTTACCCATTTTCTTGTAACTGGCGAATCCTTGTGCACCTCCAGTGCTGGAAAAGATGAAAAGTAGAGCTACCATGAAACTGAAGATAAAACCTTCATGTTCTGTTTGAACATACAATTGTACTCTTTCGATAGAGGTAATATTAAAATCCCTTTGAAATGATTACTTTATATAACCATGTACCACTTTTATAACTAATTGGACGTGGCTATCAGTAAAGCTAAATTGAGTAAACAGATATCATATAAAACTGACTGTAGTCACTTACTGGACACTTCCTTGAGGGTAGTCCACAATCCACACATGTCTCACCGTGTGAGTAATGATCACTCAGTAGCCCAGTCTGAAGAAAAATCCAAGTAGTTTCAACGGTTTATGACAGTTTAGGACAACCAAAGCGTTTTAATTTTGAATATAATAAAGTACGTGAACTAACCTGTAAATAAACGACCGTATTTTGTGTGATACTTCGAGTGACATTTACTTTTGTATTAGTTATTGGCATCTTTGCAAAAAGATGTTATATTTTGAAAACATCGGCAACTGCTCCTGGTATGATTACTGACTCGACAGTTGTCATACCAATCCCCACTTTGATGATGTTATTTCTCAAAGGAATAGAAGTAACTTCAGACCTTGCAAATTTGAAATGGATATAGAATATTGGAGAGAGCTTACAGGTAAACCGCAATCCGCACACGTCTGGCCTGTGGTGTCGTGATATCAAACTGATATCCATGACTACCTGTAAAGGGGTTGCCGAAAAGCAACATAAATGATGGACATGTCCCTAATAGGGAGAAAGTAAACTACACGGCTAGCAATCCTAAGACATGAAAATGCCGCTCTTTTATGATAAATATTTGAACAACTCAAAAATTGGGGCATTTTGTGTGATCAGAATATTCTGTCCAAGATTTGGGACATATCTGCTGGCATGTCTCCTTTTTCACGACAATGAACAACTCTGGAAAATTAATCTACCTTATTGGAAACACGGGCACAACTTTAAAATCACGCAACAGGCAAAATGATGGCTATGAAAACGATTGATCGTGCGAATAATTACATCAATAAAATTAGAATTTTCCATTCCACAAAACAAAAATTCTCTATGAACTGCAGTTGAAAAACGCCCATTTTTTCTTTACCTATGGATTAAAATTTCAGTCTATCCTAAAATATTTTTCCATAAGTTTTAAATATTTATTTGACTGTAAAAGAATACCTTCTAGTGTTAAAAATATGGTCACTTGGTTGATTAAATGAATATGGAATAAAAACTTACAAAACTCATTCCAAGGAGATCTCTTGCGATACTTGCCGGGTTTTTTGTCCTTTACTAAGTCGCAAAACTAGCGAAAAGTGACTAGCTGATCAGAATTCTCGATAGAAAGCTGGAATAGCTTCAAGAGCGTCTGTTCTCATGTAAACCTGTGAGGGGTCTGATTTGTGTTACTACAACGCCAAACACAAACGCTTCCAGGTGAACGCGCGCGTTTCCTTGGTTGCATATACACGCTCGAGCCAATGTGACGTCACAAAACATGGCGTAAATGTCCTGCCATTAACGATGTTGGGTCTTCGGGGTACATCCCACCAAATGGTTGTATTTCTGCGTGCGAGCTCATAAATATTTTGTGATCCTACGGGATTTTTACAACAAGACAGACCATAACCAGGAGGGATCATAGAAATATTTCTATAAATACCGAATTTGGGACTGATAATTTCCAGTTCGGGGTATTTCTTTCACAAAAAGCCCGAAATTGCAGGCCTAATTTGGAGACAGGCGGGCAGCTACATTCAGAAATGAGCGCTTAGTTTAATTGCTATTTTGGGGGTATCTTCCTTAGAAGGCGAATAAAAAAAATTTCGTGGCTATCCCGCATGAAATTGAAATATAAAGTGGTCTTCTGGCCATAGTCTTGAATTTCCAGTGAAAAAAACAGAGGCCAACCTCTTCGTTCACGAAAGTCAACAGGCGGCGCGGCTATTTCGGTCAGATTTTGCACTGTTTTCTATGGTTGCGTATTTGGTGTAGTGCAACCTTCAAGCGTAAAAAGGGGCCTGGAACAAGTTTTAAAGATCCTTGTATTCCTGGTTATTGACTTACTGAAAAAAATATATATTTTGTCATAATGGGCGGGTTTTTTTTCCATAGGCCTATTATCCATATTAAAAAAGAGGTTTTAGGAACACTTATATCCGCGCTGTTGCAGATGCAGTCTGGTTCCAAATGTAATTCTTAAAATGGTAATTACTTCAGTCTGTTTCGCCTTCCTTCAAGTTGTCTTCTTTTTGCGCCACTCGAGCAAATTAACAGACAAGTTTGTCGTGGTTGCTCAGCCTCCTTTCATGGTGTCTAGCAGTGTGCCTGAGGTAGCAATTTCTCAGGATAAGGGAGCATTTAACTGTTTTTTAATTTTTGGGGGAACGTGACGGTCTTGCACTCTCTGTTGTTGGCTAATCTGCCTTTATAAAAGGCATCCTCTCAATCATTGAACAGAGCCGAGTAGATGGATTTAAAGTAGGCCTATAATATTCAATCGATCGTCATCTTTTTCGTAGCGACGCGAACTTTTCCAAAACCGTTCTGCATGCGGAACCAGAAGCACTTTCCTCCATGGCACCTGCACCTTGATTGTTTCTTAATTATTCCCTTTTTTAGCAACAGCGCTTTTATTGTTTCAAGAAATGCCGTTGCATTCCAAATAGAGAAAACTACACTTTGGAAAGAATTATAAAGAACAAAGCTAGCCAGTTCCATTTTTAAAAAAACTTCTCCGAAGTAAGGCCAGAACAATTGTCTAATCGAGTGGTGTATGTGATTTACTGTGTCCCCCCCCGCAAGGCACCAGCCCAACTAGCTCCAGGTACCCTGTCTCTGAGGTGATCTGATCTGACTAGGGTTGCAATTATCCCTCAGTACGCGTGCTGATCGAGACATCGACAGCCGAGAGCAAAGATCGTATAACGCCGAGTGAAGCCACATTCGAGCATGTCGACACACTGAACACCCAGAGACCAGGTAGGAGCAGTACTAGGTAGGCCCAAGATGTTAACCCAACAAAAAGGGCGGACGACTGTACATGTATGCGCCCCTCATCATGCAGGCCTCCTATGTACACCATGGAGGATCCCTCCATCATCCATGTGTATACTCTCTTCCCGATTTTGCTGCCATATTCAGATAATTGTTTTTCATGCTAGGCTAGGACATTTTCTGGCACTGGTCAGTTTTCTAAAATTTGGACTAGGCTTATAATTAGTTTGGAAAGATTCAACCCTGTTTGTTTACAGCGCTGTGGCAGCTACCAGACCTAAAGATTTCTCCGAAAGAAGTCTAGATCTTTTAGTCTGGAAACCAGATTAAAGTTGTACGTGGGATTTTAATCATTCATAAATTTTTCATTGAAGAGTGCCAATAAATTATCTAATCTAAGCGCTTTTCATTATAGGAAGGAGTACTGATTTCTATGAACGTGATTAACCTGAAATGTAATTGCCCCAATTTTTTTCAGGTGGCACCCATGGGGAGGCCAGGTCAGAGTTTGGACCATTGGCGGACGGGAGCCCTGGCAGCTAGGATAGTGTGACACCGGGCTATACCCAGAACAGACCCCATGCCACAGCCGGTCTGGACTACCGAGAGGTGGACATGGAGATCACATTCTGGGTGAGTCTCATCACACCACACTGTGACACTTTAAGGTTTTTTGGCTACTTAAGGTTTTGATAGAGCTTACTTGGAAGCAAAGATGGTTTTGCCAAATTTGTGAGATGGTTTCCTAATCAATCATCCACAACCCCATGTCACGCGGTTAAAGTTACTAAGTATCATCATTTTGAAAATGGCTTTTGTCTTATTTCTTCAGAAGCAAGGACATGTAGCAAGTCTGAAGTTTTTCTCACTGGCAGACCTCATAGGAGGGGTACGCATCACCCAGGGCCAAAGCGACAGGTGGACTGAAGGTAGGACCAGCGATCAATGTGATTTTGCACCTCGTTTGATGAGATTAATAGATGGAGTTTTGGAGTAAAATGTAAAGTGCAAGAATTTAGTACCGATTGTGTAAATTGGGCTTTATATCTGGTATTATGACGTCGTTTAGTGTTATTTTTCTGTTAACGCTGTAGTTGAGTCCATCCAATGGCTTTGCCTGGATTTTCTTCGCAATGAGAGCAAGATTTCTTTCTGGTGTTGCTACAAAGCAATGTTCCAGTGTGTTCGCTTGAGCCCTTACGCCACATAAACCCTGTTGATGAACTCCGCACAGCCAGGAGTGCATACCAGCTGTTGGAATCCTTCAGCTTGTTTGCCTTCATTCTTGTGACAGACCTGCTTTGTGAGACAACAGACCTCCAGAAACTGTCCTGCGATCATGCCCTGGCGGATACAGGCCGATGGTCTCCGGGTAGAATCAACGGCCACAACTTCCGAGAAAGTAAGTACCAACAGAAGAAATTGAGTGAAATTGTAACGAAACATCTAACTATAAGTATGAATGAATTATCGACTAACGCCAGTTGTTATCACTGTCTGCTTGGTGATATCTGTGTCATTTTTTCAGCTGTTGTTTTGCTTTTTGAACAACAAACTGATTTATAATTTGACTGAATTGCGATGGACTGGTTCTCTACTCTCAGTAACCAGGTATTGATAGGCTTTCTAAAGATGATCAGGTATTCCTACAAGTTTTACTGATTTTTAAAAATGATCGGGTATTCCTAAGTCCTGGTAGGTCTTGACCATGGGTTTGATGATGATGCTTTGATGTGAAACAATCCTGCTGATTCAGTAACGTGTGAGGGGACGGGTCTTTTGATTGGTCAGATGAAATATTTCTCCATTCACTTGTTGAGAGAGGTGATGTGAATGGCTGTCACACTTTAGAGGTATTATATTAGTCGGAGCCTGCCATTGGCCAATTGTCTCTCCTGTCCTTTGTTCTAGATTGATCAGGGTACCTATGTGGAGTGTTCATGCACTCACTTGTCTGACTATGCAGCCCAAGGCGAGACAGATAACATTTTTGGCTACAATTTCTACATCCATGCAACTTGTTTGATTTGCATCGTAAGGAAAACAAATGTTTAAAGTTTATCAACTAGGAAAGCTAATTCCTCTTGACCAACAAAATGAGTTGGTTCCCCGCCGTCCATGTTTTGGCAAAAGCAATTCCCTAGACTTTATTACCATGTGCCAACTTGTGCAAGAAGTTAAGTAGTGAGCTATGTTTTTAATACCTCACAATTCAATGTTCCTATGAATGGCAATTTTTGGGATCTTATTAAAATAGTACCTCTTTCTAAATATGGTTTAGAAATATTTTAGGAAGTTTTCATTGTTTTATCATGAAATTGCTATGACCCTTTAGTTTACTTGGTACTCTAAAAAATAACTATTTCCAATGTGAATTCCCCTTTTTGCCAGTTAAGTTTAATGTGTCCTTTTCCATGAAATGCTGAATACACTTAACCACTTCATGCCGGGGCATTTTTCAATGTTGATAAAGCTTAGCTGGCATGACTATCATTTTTTCCGTTTTCAAAATCCTTCAAAAATTCATCATTTGATTTAACGGTCGTTTATAGCCGCATGAAGTAATCTTTAGGCAT